GAAAAAGGATTACTGGTAGAAATATATTTAAATATCAATGGCTGTTATATTAACGACTATAAGATAGAAATCTTAAAATGTAGCTTTTCCTCCCCTCCAGAGAGGCAGTATGTCTTGTTCTTTATCTGTTATAAAATATTAAATATATCAAATTGATAAAAATCAAACTCAATCTGTATAATTATATCTCTGCTTCTTGTTTTTATCATCTTAGAGCCTAGTAAACTCTTATATTTACTTTATAAATTTTAGTAATATTATTTTAAACACTTACATCAATCATGTAGTTTGTGCAAACTGTAACAGGATTGTTATGGTCATAACACAAATGGGACAGCAGATTAAATCAAGAATTTAAAACTATACAAATATGTTATTATCACATATCTCTTACCTTTTCTTTGTGGTCACAAAGTAGTTCAAAACTCTCCATTTTGCTAGACTCATTCATACGTAAATTATCGGCAGTCTGAATAAGGGCATCTAGATTTAATTCTTCTATGTGAGTATTAAATGCCTTAGGGACTGGAAAACTCAGTTCTTCAGTGTCAGTATTAGCTGTAACATACCTAAAATAGCAGAAATAATCATCAACTCTTGTGAAAATTACACTACCATGGCCAGAATAATCCTTTTAAGGTGCAAGTCAAATCATTCCACTCTCAGGCTTGAAGCCCAGCAACGGTGCCCTCCTCCACTCTGAAAACACTCAAGTCCTAGTAACAGTCTACGAGGCTCGATGAGATTTGTCTCCCAATTCAATCCACCTCTCTGACCTTGTTTCCTACCACGTTTCTCACTCATTCAACTGCATACTGGCTGCCTAGCTTTTCCTTAAGTATGCCAGGGACACTCCTACCTCAGGACCTTTGCTTGCTGTTCTGGCTGATGGAATGGCTCTTCCTTCAGAATAGGATATAACTCACACCCTCACCTCCTTCAAGCCTCTGCTCAATGTCATCATCTCAGTGCAGTTCATCCAGACCACTCCATTTAATGCTGCATCCCCCACACTCCAACTCCCTCTTCCTTCACCTCCAATCTGCCTTATCACACTTGACTTTCTTTTTCTAATATACTGTATAATTCACTAACCTATCACATATGCTATTTTTTGTCAGTATCTCCCCCACTGGAATACATGCTCCCTAATAACAGGATTCTTTGATTTATTAATTGACTTAGCAAGTGCCTGGAACAGCACCTGACACTGTGGATACTCACTAAATATTGCTGAATGAATGACACAGAGTTGGAGGAACTCAAATGTGTGTTATATTATATGATATATATATAAACTATGTTCTATACACACATGCACATGTATTTTTTATATATACACATATGCATGCAGATGCATATATATGCACACATATGTGCATTAATCTGTAGCTCCAGATGATGTTCTAATTCTTTGCTTAGTTTCTAAAAATTCATGCTTCCTCCCATATTTCCTTTTTGGTAGCATACAATTAAATCCACTATCAGAATGGGAGAGTTTTAATATAACATTCTAAGTAATTGATAGATAAAGCATATGAAAAATAGTAAAGATACAATTTAAACACCAAAATTAACAAGCTCAAATCCAACCAACATACTATATAGAACTAGACAAAGAACATCTGGAGAACACTTTCTTTTCCGGCACATATGGAATATTTATGAAAACTGTCATGTACACAAGGTCATGATGCAAGTCACAAAGGATAACAATTACTCTATTATGTAGACCATATTCTCTGTTCACAAAGCAACTAAATTCGAAATCACCACTGAAATGTAGAAGAGAAAAATCCAATATTTAAGAATAATTTAAAAATACACTTCTAATTATATGCTTGACCAGAATGACTAAAATGAAAAAAAAAACAATGGTTGGTGAGAGAGTGGAGAAAATGGAGCTCTCACACATGGATGATGCGAGTGTAAACTGGTACAACCACTTCGAAAACTATTTTTGGCAATGTATCTTAAAGCTGGCATATGCATCCTCTACAGATTCATCAATTTGACCCCTAGGCATATATCCAAAATAAATGTGTACCTATGTTTATTCAATCATGATAGGCCATAACTGAAAACTACCAAATGCCTATAAGGAATAGAAAGCTTAAATAGTGTGGCATATTTATACAATGAAAGAAAATTAGTAATGAAAATGAATGCTCTACAACTACACACAACAAAATGGGTGGATGTCACAAGATAATGTCTATGAGAGAAGCTAGACACAAAAGAGTACATAGTGTATTATTTCATTTATATAAAGTAAAAAGATAAGTTTAACAAATTCATGCATTTAGAAATGAAGATGGGTTATCTTATTGGGCCCAAGAGGCAGGGAGTGACTGGAGGAGGGCATGGCAGGAATAGCTGAGGTGCTAATAATATTCTGTCTGCAAATCTAGGTGCTGCCTACAGAAGTGTATTCAGTTTGTGAAAATTCGTTTATCTATATACTTGGCATTTGTTATTTTTCTACATGTATTTCAAAAAGTTTAAAAAGAAATTTAAAATACAAATCTCATGTATAAGAGAATGTAGGAAAGAAAGCAGAAATCATTATAAAAAGCATTAGGAATGAAACGAAGAACCATTATTGCTACAGATACAGTACAGGTTTTAAATAACACTAGTATAAACAATTTTATGATAATAAATTTAAAATTTGAAATGAACCAGATAACCATCTACAAAAATATAATTGGCCAAAACTGCTCAGGAAGAAATCAGTCATGAAAATGACATAAAAGGTGCCTACAATGGAAACAAAGAAGTAAAGTTATCTGTATTCACTGATGACATCATTTTGTTTATAGAAAATCCTGAGGAATCCACAAAAAAGCTATTAGAACTAATAAACAAGGTCAACAAGGTTGCAAGATCCAAGATCAACATATAAAAATCAATATATTTCTATACACTAGCAATAAACAACCCAAAAATGAAACAAACAAAAATTCATTTACTATATTATAAAGAATAAAATTCTTCAGAAAACATTTAATAAAAGGTGTGCAAAACTTGTACAGTGAATACTATAAAACATAGTTGACATTAAAGATCTAAACACATGAAATCCCATGCTCACAGATTAGAAGATTTAATATAGTTAACATGGCAATATTCCCCAAATTTATCTAAGATTCAAAGTAATTCCTATTAATATCTCAGCTGCCAATTTTTTTTTCAGTAATTTGACAAAGTGGTGTTAAATTTCATATGGAAACACGAGGGACACAGTATAGTCAAAATAATCTTGTAAAAAAACAATAAAGAGGATTCGTACCTCCAGATTTCAAAATTTACTATAAAGCTGCAGTAATCAATACAGTGTGGTACTGTCAATAAGGATACAGATATTGGAAAAGATTAGGGTTTATTAAGAATTAAGGGTACGTACAAAAATCCTTACATTTATGGTCAATTTATTTTGACAGGAATACCAAGACAATTCAGTGGAGGAAACAATATTATTTTCAATAAATGGGACTGAGACAAATGGATATCCACAAGCAAAAGAATGAAGTTAAAATCTTACACTATATATAAACCACAACATATATAAACATTAACTCAAAATGGCTTAAAAATCTAAATGTAAGAGATAAAACTATAAAACTCTCATAAGAAAACACAGCAGTAAATTTTGTGACTGTGGATTAGGCAGTGATTTCATAGATATAACATCACAAGTACAAGAGACAAAAGGAAAAAATAGATGCAATAGATTTTATCAAAATTTAAAACTTTTGTGCTTCAAAGGCCATCATGAAGAAAATGAAAAGGTAATTCACAAAATGGAAGACTTATAAATCATGCATCTGAATATATATACTAAATATACATATACTGAATATATGTGTTCTTATGTCTATAGAACAAGTTAGAAAATGTAGTTTTATAAAACACATCATTTATATACTATAGGGGTATATTCAGGAAAAATACAAAGCGCCTAAGAAAAATTCCACTAAATTTTTTAAGACTTTTGTACAGAATATTACAAAATACCATCTGAGAACACTGAGTGCCTAAATAAATGGGAACAGATACCATATCCATGGACAGGGACAATTAACATTAAAACAATTTCATATGGTACCAAATTTTTAATCTACAGTTTTAATGCAATTCCAATCAAAATCCCAATTGTGGTTTCCTATGGAACTTACCTGACTCTAAAATTAATATGGAAGGACAAGTGTAAGAAGAGCAAAGACAATTTTACAGACAACAGGACTATAGTCTAAAGGATAAAGTAAAGTGGTTAAAGTTCGCCAATGTGGTATTGGCAGAACAACAGACAAAGTGGCCAAAACCCAAAAGAGAACAACTGGGCTAGTCTCTTCTCCACATTAAAAAAGCACCCAAGTGTGGGAAACTATTCTCCTACTTTGGACAGGATACTTCTACCTATAACTGGGCATTTATCAAAAATTATGAGAAAGTTTCAAGAAAAATTTTAAAAGTAAGACGTATCTAAATACACCTGGGAAAATTCACAATGTGTGTATTAACTTTGGGTTACAGCTTAGATTTGCACTGGGGCCAAGAGAAAAAAAACAGATATTTCACAGATTATCTGATGGCAAACAATCTTCCCACACTCTTTTAGCAGGCCTGGAAAAGTTTGCCCTCAAATATCAAATTTACTTACAAACATTCACCTCCTAATATACTTTTTCAGCTCATTTTCTGCTCCAAATCTGACTAAGAACTGTGCCATTTTCCAAACTCTTTCATTGCTGCACAATTACTTGCTTTAATAGCAACAACAGCATATCTGCAGGCATAGTTGCATTATTTAAAGAGAAAATGACATTATTTATTGTGAAAATAAAGAAGTGCATTTACACAAGTATATCAGTAGTGAGTTGCATCAGAACAGAGAAAAACATGCCTGACTACAGTACTGTGGCCTCTCTCCATATCAGGCATCCTGATTCAGTTCCCTTTGCCTATATATATATATATATATATATATATATATATATATGTATATATACGTTTTATCTCTGATTTCAGAGTTTTCTGAATTCCCAGACATGCATAAACAAATATGCAATAAAATTATTTAATTAAAATATTTGGTTTCAATATACTCTACATATTTCCACTACAATATTTTTTACTTATGATTTGATTTTTGTATTAGTAAAAACATTGTCTATCAGCAGGTGTTTGGCATGAGTAATAAAGCTAGCAAGGCTGATATAAATGGGGGTTCGTAAACTGATGAATATAGCTCTATAGATTACACAGGAATATTATCTGGATAACGGGAGTAGAATAAAAAAAGTGTTAAACTCTCAAAGAATACATTTAGAAGACCTATATATCAAAGTTTGATGTTGTTTTCAGATAACAGAGGTATTACAGTAGTCACTTAAAAATTTGGGACTAGTCAATCCATAAGCAGTAAATCTGTCAAAAGCCTGAAACAGATGAATAATCTTTGACTTCCATATTCTAATGTTAATAAGCTATCTTTCAAAAAATACAGAAATTAAAGTTAAATTTACACTGCAATGTGGAGATCTTTTTCACAATATGCAGTGAAGCTTAGGAAGGGAGGAGACTTCTAGGAAAACTGAGCAGTGATTTCTACAGACTAAAAAGTGTGCCTGGTGGGAGAGCTTCTGATCTGAGCTGCCCTTCTAAGAGAGGGTAAAGTCTGAGGTGATCTTATTTTAGGAATTTCATTAGGTGCAGATTTGTCTTCATCTTTAGATGAGATAGTACTGTTTTCATCTTCAAAGGGATCTGAGGTGATTTCATTTTGAGATGGGGTAAAGCTACTAGCATTTTTACAAAATCCAACTTAATGGAAAACAGGGGAAGTTACACTCTGAGAGGGGTGCTGTTGAATCGTAGCTGGACAGTTATTTCTACTGTGACTTTGAGAACCAGGATGAAGGGAACTGTTCCTTAACTGGTCTCCTCCTTGAGTATCGCTGGCAATTCCATGTTGTTGAGAGGAACAGGACATGAGAGTTGGAAGAGAAAGGATGGTCACCATATTGTGATAGATGCTGTCAACAGTGTCCCGACGGGCTGAGGAATTAGCTTTTGTTTCAGAATTCATGAAATGTTTAGTGTTATAGCCAGGAGAACAAGAGCTTATATATTTTTCAGCATTAGTAATACTTGAGTTTTTAGAAATGATTTCAACTTCATTTGGATTAAACATGCACTGACTACTTGACTGAGTATCAAAAAAAGTACTAGCACTCTCATAACAGGAAATTATATTCAGTTTTGGGGCAGAGAAAAAACTTTCGGATCTAAAGCAAAAATGGTCTGAAGGAGATTTTAAATCACTGAAGCTTCTTTTTTCTTGAGAATCAAAGTTAGCTCTACTTTGTCCACTTTTCTGAAATTTAACAAATAAAGAATGTCTTCTTCCAAAGAAAGATGAGTAAGAAGATGTATTTGATGGAGAAGAAAAAATTTTACTTCCTCTAGGTGAACTGCCTCTACGTATCGAAGGACGAATTGTTCTAAGATTAAGAAATGCTGTTGGCTGAGTAACAGAAGAGGCTCCATGGTGCAGGGGGTCTGAAGTAACTGGATCTGCAGGACATTTTGGCTGGAAGCTCTGGTCCTCTTTGTGGCAGCTAGAGTGAGAAAAGTGTCAAAGTGAGGAAAAAAATAGGGAGCACAAGTGGAAACCTGCCAAGCCCCCTGAAGAATAATGGCCACCTTATCAATATGGAAACAACAGGGAGTAAGAAATTATGGCAGCTGAAGTTGACAGCCACATAGACATACCCAAAAGAATGCCTAAGTCTAAAAGATTACTTCTAAATACCTACACAGTACTTGCCCCGTCTACTAAACCCTGGGAAGATAAGTTGAAAGACTCAGGGAAGTAGGCAGGAAGAAAGGGGGAAAACATATGAGAGGGCATCAAAAAAAAAAAAAAAAGGATTCCCTAACAGAAAATGCAGAACTTCCTGTTTTAAAAATAGTAAGTCATAATATTTGCTTGAGACTATTAAACTACTATAATTAAAGGAGTTACTAAGTAGAATAAATGTATACCCTAGTAACTAATGCATTTTAAAATATCAACCATGGATGAAACAGAACCCCTCTGGAGAGAGTATTTCTGATAAATATCCAGCTATTCCAGCTATTTGATTATTGTGGGAAAGTAAAGGAAGCATTAAAGCTTGGTTTGTGAGTATTTCAATGTTCTTTAGCACATGAAACACATGGAGAAGTGTTTTTTCTTTTTAAAGGCTTACCTTAAGCATTTTCCCATATTGAATTTAACCCAAAGTAAATCTCTCCCTTTCTTTCTAAGCCATCATCCTTAAGCCATAAAATGCCCTGTGTAGGTGGAACAGGTTAGAAGCTGAACACACAGAATGTGATGATAGCAGATTCTAGAATCTAGTGACAACAATTTAGAATAAAATTGTTCTGTGGCTCATCTTTCTGAAAAAAACTGCAATTCATATGACTGTGGAATGTGTACTCTAACTTCATCATGTTTAAGGAGTCAGCCAACAAATCAAGGGATGAGAAAACAACAAGATGAAGGCAATAACATATATGTCATCTGTACAATCCTTAACTTGGGACTGTCTCTCTAACTAGCTGTCCTCCACACCCCTAGCCTACTAACTCATCCTTCCTTCACTTGACCACTTTGTATGCCAGGTTTTTACACCCTCCAGTGATGTGGAAAAGTTACTCTGACAGATTTTGGTCTGGAGGTATATATTTTTTAAAAGCCTAAATAGAAAATGTCGTTGCCCCCAAAATGAAACAGGCTTCATCTACCTTGGCAGTGAAGCATGCCACGTGATTGCATGGGCCACGTGCACAGATTATGGAGATCTGCTGTGCCACTGTCTATAACACCTGAGACAACTTAAACCCACTTAAAGGCAAGATCACCAGATCTATTAGAAAAGAAATACTGCCCTCTCCTTTTCCAAAACAAGTTGGAGCACTGTCCATATAATAGGTGTATGTGTGTGTATAGCCACTCACGACATAAACAACCCCTCAAATATATATATTTTAACTTCTCAATATCCTGAATACCCTACTACCACCACCTGTTTTTGTTCCCTTTCTAACAAACTTTTTCAGGAAACCCTTGAACAAATCCCTTTTCAGAGGCCTAAAACTCTGTAATTCTCATCACATTGTCAGTTTGTAATTTGATTTTACACAACATACAAGCTAATGAATTAATCTGTTACTGTTTCATGGTTGCTGGCAGAAGACACACGACTCTTGGGTCAGAGACAGAAGACTTTATTACTCACAGCAAATCAAGCAATGTGATCACCAGCTTATTTATGCTGGTGATTTCTCCTTAACCCCAAGACACACAAGAGCAATGCAGAGGACCCAGAGACTCTTGCATCCACAGTGAGTTATGTTATAAAGAAAGCAACACTGAGCACAGGGCATCCTCCACTGTCATAGCAAGCAGTAACCAAATCTGCTAGATCTGCTGTTGGTCCTAAAGGGACCGTTCCTCAAAGTTTCTCATCACAAGCCAGAGAAACGGCCTGGATAAAGAGTGGCCATGCAGACCTTCACAAAAATTAACTCAAAATGGATCACAGACCTAAATATAAAATGCAAAACTATAAAGCTCCTAGAAGATAACATCGGAGAAACCTAGATACATTTGGGTATGTCGGTGATTTTTTTAGATACAACACCAAAGGCACAACCCAAGAAAGAAATAACTGATAAGCTTCTGCTTGGCAAGTGATGTCAAGAGGATGAGAAGCTAGAGGCTGAGGAAAAATATTCGCAAAATACACATCTGAAAAAGGACTGTTACCCAGAATATACATAAACTCTTAAAACTCAACAATAAGAAAATGAGTAATCTCATTTAAAAATGGGCCAAAGACCTTAACAGACACCTTGCCAAAGAAGATACACAGATGGCAAATAAGCATAAGAAAAGATCCTTCACACCATATGTCACTAGAGAAATGTAAATTAAAACAAGAATAAGATACCACCACACACTTATCAGAAGGGTCAAAATCCAGAATGCTGACGAACCCAAAGTCTGGTGAGGATGTGGAGCAATGGGAACTCATTCACTGCTTGTGGGAATGCAAAATGGTACAGCCACTTTGGAAGACCATTTGGAGGGTTTTATACATAACAAAACCTACTCTTACCATACAATCCAGCAGTCATGCTCCTTGATGTTTACCCAAATGAGATGAAAACTTATGTTCACTAAAAATACAGTTCTGTAGTTTTAATTAGGGGCAATTATAGTTATGCCTCATGGACATCTTTAGCCATAACCGTAACTGCACCTAATTAAAACTACAATTTTGTCATGATACCTCAGCTGATGGCTAGAATATCTTCCAGGAAAAAGCTTCTCAAACTTTAGGGTACATCAGAGTCACCAGAAGAGCATTTAACATACAGATTCCTGGGCACAATGCAGAATCCCAGAGATTCTGATTTGCTGGGCCTGGGGCTGGTCTTGAGACACAGCACCTACACTCTATCTAGTCTGGGAGCTTGATGTACATGTATGTTAAAGACTGAGTAACAAAAACCTAGCTCTAAACTAGAACTGACCGAGTTACCTGGAATTGGCACATTCAAGTTTCCCTCATTAGCCAAAACAGCAACAGTGAGCTACTCTGAATTCAGTTATAAAGTCACATACAGTTATATGTTTAGTTGATCTGAGTGTGTAGTGAATGTAAACTATTCAATCTATTACATTAATGATAGTTATTTATACAAATGGCTTGCCAAATATACCTAATTATACAAAATAACAATAATGTTCAGCACTAAATTAGCACCAGGTTAACTGTTATATTTTCTTTCATTACAATATTAAACTCTACCTACATAGGTTCACTGTTTGTAGTTTGTTACTCAGATAGCATGGTTATCTGTATGTGATCTGAAAGGAAGAAAAAATATTGCTTGGGGATCATCAAATAATTTCATGGGTTATTTCTGGAGTTTCCTTATCCGCTATTTGTTTCTTTTGAAAGAAATGCTAATAAAATTGATTCACTAGGTAGTAGTTACTGAAGGCAGTCTAGTAAAAATAAGGATATTTCCTTATTTTTTCACACAGTCAAGAGTTTGAACTGGTCTGACAACAAAATTGAAGTAGTTTTTAAAATAACAGAAACAAAAAAGGATACATTTTAGGTCAACAAGTAAATATAGATGTGTTCCAGCAACAGTGGTGGACTGACTTCCTTACCTGTACTCTCGACATCTCAGCCTCTAGCCTCTCTATCAAACTTACCCTGCAGATCTCCCAAATTGGATCAATTTGGCCCTCTGACTTCTACATATGAAATGCCAACAACTAGGGGAAAAAATCACGCTACTGTGCAAACTGGTACAATCTTGAACCTCAAGCGGAGCAGCAGTTTGCAAGGTAACCGTCACTCATGTTCCTGATGTTCTCTTCCCCTCCCCACAACGCCTCTTCCAAACTTTTTTGGTTCATGTGTTCATTCAGTTATTAATATAAATATTTAACCATCATCTATAATGTGCCGGGCACTGCGCTAAGCACCGGGCACACCACAGTAAACACAGTCAGTGCAGGCTCCTAAGGAGGCTGAAGCCCTGCTTCTTGGAAACTGACAGAATGGGAGATGAAGGGGGTCTGGGGAAGAGGGGAGTCAAGAATCGCACTCTCCTTCCTCAAAGGCCTCAGCGTTCACTTGCCTCCACTCTAAAAGACGACCTGCGGTCCTCCTTCCTGAGAAAACAAGAGTGGCGAGGCAGGAACGCCTTTAACTTCTGGCCCTGACACCCACAAAGGCACTTCATAGGCTCAAAACCACCATCAATTGCAAGAAAGGAGGAAATGTTGACAAACTCTGACACAGCAATATGTTGCTATTAACTGGTGGTAAGACATACCTTGATTTAGGAGATGTTAAAATGTGAAGGAAAAAAAAAGGTTCCTCTTATAATCAGTGACATACGGTATGTCCGACCCCATGCGCTCCTCCTGAGTTAGGACAGGCTTAAAGAGCACTCAACTGGAACTGAGGCGAGTGTTGTAGTACTTCAGTAGCCAGGTGCCCTGGGAGGCAAAGTCTGAATCCAGCAGGCATTTCACACGCACATTGGCCTTATTCCTCCTCCCTTTACGTCCTGGGATAGTGCTTTAGAGCACTCTGACACCTCGTACTTTCTTAACTGGGGGCGAGGAAGGAAAGAGGCAGTGTAGAACAGTGTATAGACTCTGCCCTTGACTAAGGAATTACCTAACCTTTCCCAGACTCCATTTCCTTATCTGTAGACTGAGCATAATAGCATCATCTACCTCAGAAAGTTACTGTATGTTAAATAAGATAATGAATATGAAACACTTAGGACAGGATCTGGAACAAATTATTGATGGAGCCGACTTCCATTTTCTTCCGTGATATTTGCAGTCACAGAACAGGGATCTTCTCCTTTCCCTTACATGACACATAGAATTACTGCAATACTTGAATGCAGTGTATTTCTTGGTCCTGGGCATTGAAGAGGGCATGTAGGAATCGAAGTTTTATCATTGGTGCCAAGATGTAAGGGGCACCCAGATTTACTTGTGGATTCACTAGCAGAATGAATGAATATA